GCTTTCCTGCTCCTCTGATGCTGCTTGGCCTGCTGTGTTCATCCAGCTCTACACCTTGTTATCTCAGGAAATTTACTTACCAATGTTTGACCTGAAGCTATGAAACTTCAGATTGTCTAGAGTCAAAGTTGAGGCACAAGCCCTCCTAACTACATTCCATACCAGTACCTATATTTCATTGTTCTATACACGGCACCTTGGCTTAGTGGTTAGCTCCGCTGCCTCATAGCGCCAGGAACCCAGGTTCAGTTCCACCCTCAGGTAACTGTGTGGAGTTGACACATTCTCCCCATGTCTGTGTGGATTTCCTCTGGGTGCTCTGGTTTCCTCTCACAGTCCATAATGCAGCTTAGGTAGATTGGCCATGCTAAATTGTCCATAATGTCCAGGCATGTGTAGGCTAGGTAGATTTAGCCATGGGCAATGCAGGGTTACAGGGATAGGTGGGTCTGGATGGGATGCTCTTCAGTGGGTTGGTGTGGGCTTGGTGGGCTGAATGGCCTGCTTCCACACTGCAGGGATTCTATGATACCATCATTGGCACATTTTATACTCAGAACTGGTGATGTGGGACAATAGATGTTAGGGGGATAGATATAAATGTCGGTCACGCTGTTGTTTGACTCGACTTTGGAATAGCGCTTACCATGTGAATATTTCTAGATATTAATGAGTTCCTTGCAAAATAAATGGGGTTAGGACTGCCTGAGTGTACACTAATTTAATTTTTTTGGGCTGTAATTCTGACCTCTAATGATTTCTTTACAACTGAGTGGCTTTCTAGGTCAATTCAGCAGATCAACTACATATAGTGGTACTAATGTAACATGAAAGCTTACCTTGATAGTCATGGCATTTTCCTTGCTCAAGGATATTAGTGATTGTTTGTTTATTTTTTTAAAATCAGAATAATACAGCTTTCCTGAAAAGCTCTACATCATTGAAATACATTGCTCAAGAAGACCCCATACTCCAACCCAATCATTTTTTTTTGCTGTTTCCTTTCACTGTTTCATATTTTAATTTTCTGTACACATCACAATTTTATCTTGTGTTAGTGATTCTGTCTCAAAGACTATTGTTGGTAAAGCAATCCATATTATCATATTTCCCCATTTTAAAATTATTTTCCTAACATCCTCCTTCTGTTTCTTTTGTTGTCTGTGCTTTCATACTGACTTGTTATAATTAAGTAATAACAATCTTTTACACTGCAAGCCTATTAAATTTTGAAGAATTTTATTTTTTCATTAAAGCTGCTTGATTTTTTTTGAAAAGGTGTAGTTTTCAGACTTCATTATTGCACTGAATATTTGGTGCATTACGCCTGTGGCTTTAACATCCTTCCTATAAGTGGGTGTGACAGAATTGTAATAGTCAACCTCTGATTTATAAAGTCTTGTTAAGCCAACTTCACCCCATTCCTTGCTTGTATAATTGATGTTTCATTACAAAACCTAGAACCTGAATTGTCTTCCTCTCGCATTTTCCATCTGCAGTCACAGCTTTGAAGATCTATTTGGCTGCATCACCTAAACCTCATTGCCTCTGAACTTTTAAATCTTGTGAAGCATATCCATACAATACCCTTAGACTGCTTTCATTTCTAAAATATATCGGCTTTACAGCCAAGCCTTGGTATCAACGGACCATAGCTTCTTTGTTGGTTTTTACCATCTGTTGCAAAGTGATGGTGCTCACTACTGACCTTGAAGAAATCTGCGACTGAAGAACTGGCCAGCTCTGTTTTGTGGATTTCATCCTTCCCGATGTTAATTTCATTCTGGCACAAACTAAAGGGGATCTGTGGACCTGGATTTTCATTCTGGAGGCAAGAATCACAAATTGAGCCAGTTTGCAAAACATGATCTTGCCTTCTGTCTAGCAGTGCGCGCGTATAATAATTTCATGGCAAGATGGCCTATTGTCAGGCTGCTGCTTCTGGAAACAGGCCTGAGAAAGGAACAAAGACCAGCAAATGCTAAGGTGGAGTCATTATTAGGCATGCCTCCATTCACTAAGACATTGGCCCAGTTTTGTCATGTTGGGCACCCACCCCTTCATTGTCATGTACCCGCCATATTCCCTCCTTAACCCCATACTCACTCACCCGGTATTTGTTATGGATAGAACTCACAAAGCATATAATAACATTAGGAAGTCTTTGAGATGCTCAGGAAACTGTCAAAATAAACAAATGGCTATTCAAAAACTTCTTTATTCTGAGGAAGGGTCACTGGACCCGAAATGTTAACTCTGATTTTTTTTCTTCACAGATGCTGCCAGACCTGCTGAGCTTTTCCAGCAACTTCTTTTTTGTTCCTGATTTACAGCATCCACAGTTCTTTTGGGTTTTTTTTTTATTAAGCCTATTTAAATCCTGGAGACCTTCTTTCCAACATGGCTGGAAGTATGAAAATCTGGCCCTTGGCATCCAGCAACAATAATGACATCAAGCAGATTAAGCAACCAATCACAAGGCAGAGTTTACTCTAAAAGCAGACCAGGAAGTAACAAACAAAGTTTTATAATTGACTTTTTACACTTTACAGAAAAGAAAATAAAGATTTGGACATATAAACAAGATTGAACTTCATGTTATTTCCACTTTTACAATTAAAAGTAAATATTTTAAAATTCTATAGTATTTTTGTCACGGAATTGAAAAATATGATACTACATAATTTTAAAGTTACTCCTTCAAGGCCAGAGGTGTTGTTCGGTGCTTCTAATGACTTGGTATGCCATTTACAATAGAGCTACTCCTCATTCGACAAATTGTAATTTTATTTAGCAGCCAAAATAATGTACATCACTGCATTGATTTCTAGATGACTTCCATTAGTGAGGACTTCAGATGTGTATCCCATGAATGAGTGGACAATCAACAACAGCTGCATCTGGATTTCCATATTTAACTGCACATGTACAGACACTAGAAGTTGCTTGTGATTTCAAAGGGTAATAATGGCAGACCTTGACAGTTTCGCTGTTGTTACAATCACAAAATCTGGGCTTTTGACGCTTGCTTTTCAGCCTTTGTATATTCTGCATTGAGTTAATTCTCCTTGAAGGAATTCAGTTGCAAGGCAACTGTCAAATTTCAAAATTCTAGAATTCTTAAAGCAATAACTAAGGAAATAAATTATCAGTCATTTTAGAATTTATACGAATTAAGGGCTGCATCTGCATGCTTCATTGCAATTTATATAATTTACAGTATTCACAAATTGGAATCCCCAATAACCTCTGATTCCTATGAAAAAATGGCAAAATCAAAGGACATCCATTGATATATATTTGGACATGCAGAAAACATTCAGCAAGCTGATGATCCTTCTGACTCATATAACATTACATGGACTCCTTTGACCAATTTATTATCTTAACAGAAATTTGGTTTGACAATAAAAGTGAAATTTTTAAATGGGGACACTAGTGAACCAAATGGTTTTTTACAGCAATTAACATTGGTTACACAGTCGCCATTAATTTTTTTTCTTATTCAAGATTTTTATTTAATTCAAATATCACCATCTGCCATGGTGGGATTCAAACCAATGTCCTCAGAACATTAGCCTGGGGTTCTGGATTACTAATAAGTGACATTACCATTACACCACTGCACCCCCTAATTTTAGTCCATCAGATGTAGGAGCAAAAATAGGCATTCAACCCATTGATTCTATTCTGCCATTCATGACATGGCTAATCTGATAATCCTCAACTCCCCTTTCCTGATTTATGCCCATAGTCCTTGATCACCTTGCTGATTAAAAACCTGTCTATCTCTGCCATGAATACACTTAACAACCCAGCCTTTACAGCCCTCTGTGGTAAAGAATTCCACAGATTCACTATCGTCTGGAAAAAAAAATCCTCATCTCTCTTGAAATTGATAATCCCTTACTCTAAGATTGTGCCCACTTGTCCTAGATGTTCCTACTAGAGGAACAACCTCTCCATATTTACTCTGTCAAGTCCCCTAGGAGTCTTGTATATTGCAATAAGGTCTCTCATCCTTCTAAACTCCAATGATTACAAGTCCAACCTACTCAAACTCTCCTCATAAGAAAATCCTCCATACCCAGAATCAGCTTAATGAACCTACTTTGGACTGCGTCCAAAATCAATATAAGTTTCGTTAGATGAGCAGACCAGAACGTTGTACGATATTTCATGCGTGGTCTAACTACTGCCTTGTATAGTTTTAGCAAGACCTCTCTATTTTTATACTCCATTTCCTTTGAAATAAGTGCCAACTGTTCATTTGCCTTCTCTATTACCTGCTGAACTTGGTGCTAGATTTTGTGATTCATTACCTAGGACTCCCAAATCCATTTGAGTTACAGTTTTCTGCAATCTTTCCCCATTTAAATAATATTCAGCTTTTCTGTTCTTCCTATGAAAATGCATAACCTCACTTTTATCACATTCTATTCCATCTGCCAAGTTCTGCCCACTCAGTAACCCTGTTCTGTACAGTATGTCTCTGTCGACTCTGTGTCATCTCCACTATATAGCTTTCCCCTCTTTTTGTCATCTGCAAACTTGGATAGCACATTCGCTCTAAGTCATTAATATAATTGTGGCTCCAGCAGAAATCCCTATGATACTCCACTAGTTACACTTTACCAGCCTGAACATGTCCTTTTTAGTACAAATTTCTACTTTCTGTTATTTATCCAATTCTCTATCTGTGCTAATATACTACTCCCAACATCATGGGCTTTTGATTTATTAAGTAATGTTTTGTGTGGCACATTGTCAAATGCCTTTTAGGAATCCAAATATATTGTATTTACTGGGTCCCTTTATCTGTCCTACTTGTTATCTCTTCAAAGAACTGTAATAAAATTACCGACATGATTACCCTTCATGACGCCATGCTGACTCTGCTTTATTTATGGTACTTTAAATGCTCTGCTTTTACATCTTGTATAGTAGATCATAACATTTTACCATTGTCAGACATTAAACTAATTGACCTCTGCAGGAAAAGGCAACTGCAGAGTAGAGTTTCTCAAACATTTACGCCAGCAGCAATTCATACAGCATAAATTATATGGAGAAGAAACAGTTTAGATCTTCTAGCAAGTTGACAATATGAGCAAGTAGCCTCTACAATGAAGAAGGAAATAGAAATATTTGTTATGCTTGTTTTCAAATACATTTTTATTTCTTACAGATATATATTGCACTAACATTCTTTATTTTCTTTCTAGTATCCCTATAGGGACTCTGATATCAGCAAAATTGTATTGCATCTGATCTATATCACAATCAATACGCTTAATGCACAATACCATAGCTGTAAGCCCCATCCCACTGCTGGACCCCTATACAGTGATAATAGTAACATTAGTAAATACAGTGAGAAAGAAAAAGGTAAGATATAAAACTGTAAAGCACATGTTTCTTAATATTTGCTAACTTTTATAAAATAAAGAACAAATACGAGCTTAAAAAAAACCTGTGTATAAGTTTTATTAATGTTGATAGACATTGGAGTTTAAAACAGGGATTAATTGTATTTTGTGTAATAAAACTGATTGTTCCACTATAGTAAGGTGTAGTCTCAATATTTGTGTTAATTATTTTCCTCCTGCCTAGTTGTTGTCTTCAACTCTTCATGTCCTCCTACTCCTGCACCCTTCGCAGGTTAAGATCACAGGCAGGTAATATGCTCAAAGATTTATGCCAGTGCCTTTACTCCTGGTTCCTACTTGATACAATTATAGTGGGGTAGTTGAGAAATGACATCAATCAATCTCTTCACTTAATGCACAGTTAGTCCAGAAATGACACTAGGACGGAGAGTTTTATATGAACCATAGGCACAAAGTCAATTTTATCTCCCAAGCATGCTGTAAAAACCCCTTTGTCATCTAGCTAATTATCCATCTGCCAAAATCCAAAATACTTTCTGAAAGAAATCTATCTAATTTTTCCTCACCTTAGGAAAATAACCATGCCCTACATATTATCAGCATTTTGCTATAGAAACTTATGGACACTGTTTTAAATGTTATCAGTCCATGGCCTGGATATTGGTGCATATGCAGAGTCTAATAGTGTATGCTGCATTTTAAACAAGAAAACACTTTTGATTTCTTTTTGATGCCCCAATAAACAACTTCTGCAATTGTGAATAGCAATTGAAGTGTCTTTCGTATTTAGATCTGGAGAGTATTTTAATGTTTGCTTTTTTTTCCCTCTCACCAGAAGAAGATAGTGTGTTTGATGAATCAGATGTACATGACACACCAGTTGGAGCTTGCAACAAGGAACCACAGACATTCTTTGCAAGACTGAAGAGGATAGGGGGGAGTAAATCAGTAAAATATCAACCAGTAGAGATGAATGCACAGAAGAGTAAGTTTTTATACTCCTTTAGAAGGAACATAAGGCTGTCCGAGGCAATTTAGCTTTACATGTCAGGAAGCCTGTAATTTCATGTGTTTCCCAATTCTGTGTGCACCTGTTAGAAAATTGCTACGTACCTTGGACCTTGATACACTCCCAAGTCCTGCACCTACTCCAGCCAGATAAATAAAAAGATAAGTTAAAATTATAGCCAAAGCGTTAACAAGCAGAAAAGGTTGCAATTTAAATTGCTTAATTTTAAAGATCCTCCTGTCCTTGTTTGTGTTGTCCACATCCCGTAAATAAATGTTCACAAAATCAGCAGGAACAAAGCTTCCATCTGCTTACACACAGAACTGCAACAACTGTACAATGAGCCTGCCCAATTCCAAAAGATTGCTGGATTTCTAAAGGTAAATAGAGAGGTTAATGTCATTCAAACTACAATGACCTACATCAAGGTGTCCAGCCGATGGTCCAAAGCCCACAGTTCCTAAAACCTTGACATCTCAAGCAATTTCTGTTTTTCATTTGCTAGGATATCCTATTTGAAACTCATGGCCTTAAATATTTGCAATGAGGATTCTTCGTATTTTTGCCTTGGATATGTCATAAATCAGAACATACATATTTGTTAGTACCCTCAACTTAGGGCATATGCAGATTTATAAAGACAAGAAACTCAATTCTAAATATGCCTGGGTGGCAGCTGTTGTTTTTAAAATTTAGATTGAATCAACTCCTATTCAGTTTATTTGTTGGTGTGATTTGTATGTTTTGTCATATACTAATTAACGAATGTTTAGCTGATGCATAATTGTGGATTTTGTTGAAATTGTGTGCATTAATTCTTTTTGTAACTTTCATGATTTTCCCTTTAGGCTCAGAGATAGAGCTGTCAGAATACAGAGATTCCAGCCTTTTGCCAGACAATATAATGCGGTGTGGTACATCTCCGCAATTGCAAGAGGGTGTTGCTCAGAAGAAGAAATTATATGCAATTAAGCAGCAATCACTTGATATAGGAAATGCAGATTCTGTCCTATATTCTTTAGATGAACATCGCAGAAAGTCATGTCTGGATAGGTATGAATCATTACGACAAGCAAGCTTTCCTTCCTGCTATCCTCACTTTGAAAGCATGCATGGAAGACCAGAGCAAGACTTGTCTGTCAATGCAGAAATTGGAGAACATCAGGAAAAGTCTTCAGCTGCAGTAAACTCTCAAGAAGGGAAACGACCATTAATACCAGAAGTTAGACTTAGCTGCACAGAAACACTTGAGGCAAAACTTGAATCTCCTGAGAAACATCTTTCCTTCCATAAAGAAGAAAGTGATTTGATTGACTTATCTTCTGACTCATCATCTGCCCCGGAGAAGCAATCAATTCTATCAAGTTCAGATAGCGATTCGTTGGTCTTTGTGCCTCTTCCCCCTCTCAGAATTGTAGAGAGCGATGAGGAATATGAAATGCAGAATACCCCTAATAACAAACCAAGTGGAAAAACTAATGTGGTCTCTCACAATACTGTACCACATAGCTTAAATGTCACTCCAGTTGTAAAAGTTAATGTTGAAGATTGCTCCAAAGAGTCAAAATGTCTGGATTTTGGTATGACTTCTTTGCTAGATACTGAGAACATTTTGTCAGTAGGTCTTGTAGATGAAAAAGACTTCGGAAATCTAACGCCTCAAAAAAATTCGAAGTGTTCTGGTTGTGAAAGTCCACTAACTCTTAAACAGAAACGAGAAAACCTCAGGAAATCATCTGCTGTGCTTGAAATATCACAAGATGGTACTGATGATTTGCATAGAGATGGGATTAAATCTGAAAGCCCATTACCAAGTCCCATTGTTAAAACAGTATTTCTCAAGCTGCCCACAGAAATTGAAGACGGTGAAAAACCAAACACAGAGCCGTCTACTGATAAAGATACTGATCAAAAAGATGATAGTGGGGAAGAAACAGAATTCAAAATCCAGATTGTTCCACGTCAGAAGAAACAAAGGAAAATAGCTGTTAGTGCTATTCAGAGGGAATACCTTGACATTTCCTTCAACATTCTAGACAGAATTGGAGATCAAAGAGATACTGGTAAGAAGTTGATCATATGCAAATCTGAAAAGTGATATATTGCAGTCGAGTCTTTTCAACATGAGTTGATTCCGTGTGTTTCCTCGTTTGTTGTCTTTTAAATTTTGAATGGGTAACTTATGACAAGGCACAGCAGTTGAAAGTTGACTGATTCCAAATTTTTCACAATTTAAAATCAATAATTAGATTTACCGTAATGTAACGTATTAATGTAACAGTACTAACCTGAAAGAAAGCTCAAAGGAGCGGACATTTTGTGAGAAGTTTGATATGAGGGTTGATATGTGTGGCAACGTTAATTACAATTCTGTTGTCTTGCACAAAAATGCTACCTATACATTTTTAGCATAATTACGTTGCTGTGAAATTTCGTAATCATGATACTGAACAGGTTACACACTTGATCCGAAGCAGCTATTTAAAAACATCACTCGTTAGCATTAAATGAGGATATATTTAACTGTCCACAAGACCATACAGGTCTATTTATGAAAATTTCAAAAGTCATTGTTTAACGTATTTTTAACCCGTTGTTACTCTGGTGGTAGCATAATATAGTTTACATAATCATAGAGTCATAGAGCTGTACAGCATGGAAACACATGCTTTGGTCCAATTCGTCCATGTTGACCAGATATATAGAACATAGAACATGGAACAGTACAGCACAGTACAGGCCCTTCGGCTCACGATATTGTGCCGAACTTTAACCTGAAACCTAAGGTCTATCTAACCTCCACCGCTACCTTATGCTATCATCCATACGCCTATCTAATAGCCGTTTAAATGCCCCTAATGAGGCCGACTCCACTACCCTCTCCGGCAATGCATTCCACGCCCCTACCACTCTCTGAGTAAAGAACCTACCTCTGACGTCTCCCCCAGTATCTACCTCCTTTCACTTTAAAACTGTGTCCCCTCGTAAAAGCTACCTCCACCCTAGGAAAAAGTCTCTGGCTGTCTACTCTATGTATACCTCTGATCATTTTGTACACCTCTATCAAGTCACTTCTCATCCTTCGTCGTTCTAAAGAGAAAAGCCCTAGCTCTCTCAACCTTTCCTCGTAAGACCTTCCCTCCATTCCAGGCAACATCCTGGTAAATCTCCTCTGCACCTTTTTCAACGCCTCCACATCCTTCCTGTAATGAGGTGACCAGAACTGGACACAATACTCCAGATGTGGCCGAACCAGGCTTTTTATAGCTGGAGCATAACTTCACGGCTCTTGAACTCAATCCCTCTATTAATGAAAGCTAACGCACCATACACCTTCTTAACAACTCTATCCACCTGGGTGGCAGCTTTCAGGGAACTGTGAACATGAACCTCAAGATCCTTCTGCTCCTCCACACTGCCAAGAATCTTTCCGTTAACCCTGTGTTCTGCTTTCAAGTTTGACCTTCCAAAATGAATCACCTCACACTTTTCAGGGTTAAACTCCATCTGCCACTTCTCAGCCCAGCTCTGCATTCTATCAATATCCCTTTATAACCTAGAACAGCCCTCCACACTGTCCACAACATGACCCACCTTCTTATCATCCTAATAATATCCTAAATTAAACCATCCCATTTGCCAGCATTTGACCCATATCTCTCTAAGCATAATATAGTTTTAATTTTGTGCTTTATAAGTATGTGAATTAAAAGAAGGGGCCATTAGCAGCAATTGCTTATTTCCCAGTTGAGAGGAGAGGCAGCAGACAGCCTAGTAATACCATAGTTGCAAAAGAGATTTTGCAGTTTAGCAATTGATTGCAAGGCTACTGGAGTAGGAGGTTTTATTGCCCCCTCTTGGATGGACGTAAGATGGAGGAAGTTGTTAAGTCCTTAAAAATGAGAAACCCCTGATCCAAACTGTTAAATGGGATTCCTGCCAGATGGTGAAATAGGAAACGAAGACAGATCATAGAATCGTACAGCACAGAAGAGGCCCTTCAACCCAATAAGACTATACACTCAAAAATATACATCTACCTGACTAGTCCCATTTTCCCACACCACTAGCCTTGAATGTTATGACACTAAGTGCTCATCCAAGTACTTTTTAAAGGTTATGAGGTTCCCACCTCAAGTATCCTCCCAGGCACTGCATTTCAAATTTCCATCGCACCCTGGGTGAAAAAGCTTTACCTCAAATCCCCTCTCAGCCTCCTGCCTTTCATTCTAAAATTTTGTCGCCTTGTTATTGACCCTACGACTAAGAGGAACAGCTGCTTTCTACTCATTCTGTCCATTCCCCTTGATCAGGTCCCCCCTCAACCTTCTCTGCTCCAAAGAAAACAACCTGAGTTTATCCAAGATGACAAGGTGTAGAGCTGGATGAACACAACAGGCCGAGCAGGAAAGCTGACGTTTTGGGTCTGGACTTTTCTTCAGAAATGGGGGAGGGGAAGGGGATTCTGAAATAAATAGGGAGAGAGGGGGAGGTGGATGGAAGATGGATAAAGGAGCAGATAGGTGGAGAGGAGACAGACAGGTCAAAGAGGTGGGGATGGAGCCAGTAAAGGTGAGTGTAGGTGGGAAGTTAGGGTGGGGGTAGGTCAGTCCAGGGAAGACGGATAGGTCAAGGAGGTGGGATGAGGCTGGTAGGTAGGAGTTGGGGGTGGGGCTTGAGGAGGGGATAGATGGGAGAAAGGACGGACAGATTAGGGAGGCGGAGATGAGCTGGGCTGGTTTTGGGATGCGGTTGGGGGACGGGAGATTTTGAAGCTTGTGAAGTCCACATTGATACCATTGGGCTGCAGGGTTCCCAAGCGAACTATGAGGTGCTGTTCCTGCAACCTTTGGGTGGCATCGTTGTGATACTGGAGGAGGCCCAGGATGGACATGTCGTCCAAGGAGTGGGAGGGGGAATTGAAGTGGTTCGCGACTGGGAGGTGCAGTTGTTTGTCACGAACCAAGCGTAGGTGTTCCATAAAGCGGTCCCCAAGCCAGTGCCACAATGATGCCACCCGAAGGTTGCAGGAACAGCACCTCATATTTTGCTTGGGAACCCTGCAGCCCAATGGTATCAATGTGGACTTCACAAGCTTCAGGGTAATCACATTCTTCCTATATGTGCAGATACCGGAACCACACACAATACTCCAGCTGTGGCCTAACCAAAGTTCTGTACAGCTCCAACATGACTTTGCAGATTTTTTTCCTTTATTCACGGGATCAGTCTTACAAATTTCTGTCTTGTCCCACTATCCCCACCCTAGACTATAGTTTTTAATCAATCCGTTTGGACATGTAATGACACAGCACCAGGGCAAGTAGAATCTGAACGTTCTGAGCAGACCCTTTTTCCTAGGCCCTCAAAAAGTTGTTACTTATTTATCCATTGGGTATTTTTCAGTCAACCTATTGTGGAGCAGGTGGGACTTGTACTTGAGCCTCCATGCTCAGAGGTAAGGACTTTACCATTGTGCCACAACATCTTTATGTTGCTGAAAGATGATCAAAGAGTAAATATCCATCATCTGTTTACATTTCACTTTAAACTATATCATAGACATGACATGAACATGAGTCCTCCATAAGCCAAGTACTTCAGGATTAACCAAATGAGGAGTAAATGATTACCAACTTCTTGAGAAGTCGGTCAGTAAATAAAATGGTTAAACAAGGTTGAGGGACAGGTTTTCTTGTGTCAGGAAACTGGAATCTAAATTGATCATAGAGCTGCATTCTGGAACAGGTAGGTGCTTTTCCAGCAATGATTGTGGGGGCTAGGAGGCACAGGAGCAATTCCCTCAGCTCCCATGAGAGAAAGTGCCAAGTTTGAAGGCAATGTTCAGAAACATTCAACTTTTCCACATTTACAAAATAGATATTGTGAAATTCAGTTTTAAAAACATAATATCTGCAAACTGTGCATTTAAAAGCAGTCACATGTGAAAATCATATCGCTTTTAAGGTGTTAATGTTAATCATAAAAATTCTATTAAAAGGAAGATCTTACTTTGAGTAATCTTCCCCTCCGCTACAAAAATTCAAGCACCTCTTCCCACAATCCATTGGTAACCATCCTACAACCAACTCCCCACTCCCACCACAACAATCTCTCCCTCCCTTCTCTCCAGTTACCAGTTATGGTCATCCACCATGTACCTAATTATTCATTACCAAGCTAGCCTTCAATCTGCCTACTTACTGGATGAGAAATGGAGAAAGATAAATCAAATTAAGTTTTATTGTAATTCTCTCCAACTGGTTTTGAAGTTCTGCCCTCCACTGTAGGTATCAATGATACATAATAACTTGGATAGTATTTCTACTCTATGTGGTATACCTTTAAGACCATAAGAAGTAGGAAATAGGATGTTTAGCCCTTTCCCGATAACTCATCATCCCTCCACTGATCAAGAATCTATGTGTCTCAGCCTTAAACATGCACAAGGAATTTGCCCCCACAGTTCTGTGAGGCAAGGTTCCAAAGACTCATAAGCCTTTGAGAGAAGAAATTCCTTCTCATCTTAGTCCTAAATTGGGAACCCTTTATTCTGAGTCCCACTGGTTGGACAGACCCGGCAGAGATGCCGACACAATGGTTCAACATTGGGAGGGAATTGCCCTGGGAGTCCTGAACACTGACTCTGGACCCTGTGAAGTCACATTGACTCTGACCCTATGATGTCTCATGGCTTCAGATTAAACATGGGCCGGGGAACCTACTGCTGATAACCACATACCCTGGGCTGATGAATCACACTTGAACAACACTTGGAGGAAGAACTGAGGGTGGCAAAGATAGAGAATGTACTCTGGGTGGTGGTCAGGTCCTGAAGGATGTAACTGCTAAACTGGGTCTGTGGCAGGTAGTGAGGGAACTAACAAGAGGGAAAAACCTACTTGACCTCATCCTTACCAATTAGCACCCCATCAGTCTTCCATCAGTAAAGTGCTATCGAGCAGCACCTGCTCAGCAATAACATGCTGAGTGATGCCCAGTTTGGCTTCTGCCAGGGCCACTCAGCTCCTGACCTCATGATAGCCTTGGTTCAAACAGCGAA